AAAAGATGGGTAGACATCGATTAGACGTTAGTCATTAAGCTAAGCCTGGAACAAGGCGACAACTGTGGAGATATTCGTGAGAATCGAATTTACAATAAAGTAGTAATGGCAAGTTGAATGAGTTCGTTATATATGACCACGCAATGTAGAAAAGAGATAATATAGGTCAGTAAAACTAGAAGGAGGCTTGTAGTTATAGGAAGATTTGAAAGCTTATAATAGAGTTTAGACCTCTTGAATGTTTTATTAATCTGCTTTGGTGCGGATGTTGACTTGGTCTGAAAATATATCAAGGAATCCTTAAAAGAAAAACCAAAGACATTTGAAAATAAACTGTATGACATGTAAACTGATGAAGATCAGAGAATACCATATATTTTGTCAATGATAGGGCCTTCTCAACATGGTGTGGCTAAGTGGCTTGCCACTATATTAGATCCAGTTTTGGAACGGTTTAATTTGTCCTCCATCAAAGATTCTTTTGGATACTTTATACATAACTCGCAGCATGTCCCGGCGTTGCCTGTGCTTGATTCAAAAATCGTACGACTCATACAGCAATCGCTATCACTTGACTTAAAATATTTTTGCCCTTCCTTGCCTTTAAAGGAGTGCCCTTTGCCGTGCTAATGTTGCTACATGCCTTACTTCGTGCCTATCTCACACTGCGAATTTTTTCTAAGCTCTATACTAAACATTAAATCTGTTACGAAAAAAGAACTAAACAAAATGAACACAAAACGGTCAGCTTTAAAAAAGGACTCGTAACTGGAAAAACCGAATGAAAAAAGAATGTTAACAGCAAATACTTTTTCACACCCAACCCAGTTCTGCGGAATCAGAATCAACGTTGAGTTTAAGCAAGCGAATGAGCCAATTGGAGTAAAGTGCCATGCAGATTTAAATTTTTCCCACTTGTGACGAATGCAGCTATCGATTTTTTTTGCTTGCTAGCATGCTAGTTAACATTCGTGTCAGTCAGCTGTTGGCTCTCACGCTGGCCAATAGAATCTTCCTGCCTATTCGTGGCAGCCAGTTATAGGCTCTCACTCTGGCCAGTACAAAATGGCCGCAAACTACATGAAAACTGACATAGAAGCATGAAAAAATCGATTATTTTCACTATCGATGGGAGTTGGGAAATGCAAAGTCGGTCTTGGCCTTCCCGCTAACTTGGAGCATATGCATGTAAATTTTGGTGCAAATCTGTCGAAAATTGCGGCCGTGCATTCGTCACACACACACACACACACACACATCCTGCCTTTTCTAGATAGAGATTTTAGTTTAATTTCTACGTAATTGTATGTTCATTCTTATACGGTCAAGTTGGAAGAAAGTGTCCAACCACGTCGCTATTAATTAATATTTCTTTCTTATCACTAAATATTTCTCTGAAAAAATTAATCTACTCCTCTCAGCACGAATATATTCCTTCAAAAATTGGTAATTCCATAATAATATGACTTTCAATAAATGTCTCCGGGACTGAACTTACGACCGCCAAATAACTCGATACTCTACTGTGGGTAGTGAATTCAGTAATAGTCTGGTAGAAAAGGAAAGAGAAAATGGACTGAAAGCGCCAAATCAACAAAGAAACTGTAACAATCAAGATATTAGTCCAAATAGATCGATCTATAATGATATCCAATGTTTTCCTAACTCCGGAAGCCTTTTTTTCGTATCGTTGCTGTTGTTAATATATTTTCTACCGGTTCTTTGTCAGGTGCAATCCATATGAATAAACGAAATCTCTTACCCTCCATTTTTTTTATGTTTTTGTTCTTCGTAGGATTTTTCCGGATCATGTTTTATTCCTTGGGCTTGATGTAATCTCTCCCTTGCCAGAGAGCGTCTTGCTCGCTGTAGAATGTTAATAGCTCTCTTGGAATGGGTCTTACATTTAAGCTTCAAGCTATCAAAACTTTCTCTCGGCATCTACACAAGAATGTTAAAATGTTAAATGGCTAGAAAAACTGAGCGAGTTTCTATGGACATTTTTCTGTTTTTGTCTATTGTAAAATTAGTTCAAGCCGAGATTGGTTGTAAATATATTGGGTTGGGTTGGTCGATTTTACGACATACGGCGACTCTTGGCTTATTTAATGTCGAAATTGATCTTTTTTGTTGTGTATTTGAGATTATACTTATTTTGAAAATAGGTAAATATTGGTAGTTTATTTTTTTGTTTATAAGCTTTTAGTTGTTACGGTGATAGGTAAATCGTCGTTTTTAATTGACTGTAAACATTTACTTGCTTAGGGGAGAGGTAAATATTGATCGTTGATTTTTATAAGCAAATACTTGGTTCAGGGACAGGTAAATATTTGTCGTTTATACTGGAGTCTTTTAGGAAAATCTGTGACAAAGTGAAAAATGTTTTTTCGTCTTACGCATTTCGTTGATGTAACTACACGTGAATAAAATAAAAAAGAGGGGAACGCTGAAATGTGAAGCGTTATATTTATTTTTTTTTAAAATATGTTTTGGGGTATATTTATGTGTAGTCATATCAACGTAAACCTCATTTTAGTCTGACGAAGTCCTGAAGGACGAAATACTTCACACGAAAAAATTGTTGTGATGCATAAAAAATATATTTAGACGCTATTACACTTTTGAGGGTGCGAAAGTATAATAGTGCCACTTTTTTTTACTCATTTCTTTTATTGCAGACATTTATGTTACTCTTTGGTATTCTGCTGACAACTTTGTCATTTCTCTGGGGATGCTTAAAAGGAAAAACTGAAATCTTTTTCTGTTTTTCCACAAGTAGAGAAATTTCACAGCACTATGATATTGTTATTTAGGAAAAAAAAAAGAATTGATCTCTATTTTCAAATTTAATTTTCAGCAAATTCAAAATCTTACAATATTGACATATATAACAAAAGAACTTTGATGTCTTTTAGAGTACATTCTTCCATCTGCATTATAAATTTAATTGATTTTAAGTTTCGCACCTACCCGGCTTATAATATTTCGCTGTGATGTAATTTTCTCCCCAAGAAATAATTTTTTCTGTTAGCTATCCTTTTTGCACTGGTTACATTCATCACTTCACGTATTTTATTGTTCATTTCAAACCAAGTATTATGGCTGGTGTTCAACGCGTTCTCAATCAACAGGTTTTTGAAGACATCACCGTTTTGAAGATTAGAGCATAGTTTTACAACAATATTGATAATTACATCAACTGCAAACTATGATTTTCTAGTAGTCAGTATGAACTACATTGCTTGCAACAGCCGTTCTAGGGAAGAAACCTATTCACGATCGGTGGATAACAGGATTTAGAGATTTGCACGTAAAGCTTGGTGAGGGCGAAAATGTAATATTTACACTGTTTACATTGTATGAACTGTAGTCCTCATCTTTAGTGTAGACTCTTAGTTTTCTAAAAGTTAAGAAAAAAATCAATTGACAAATATATATTCAAAGCAAAATGGTACCGTATAAAAAGAAGTTTAGCCGACAAAACTAAACTAAAATATTAGAACTTGGATGAATATTTCACAGTTTAAATTTGATTTATCGATAATTTTTATGCCTTCCACAATTTCTATTCTTTTAAGGTCTTTCAGATTACATTGTTCATGAATTTTATGCCATTGTTTTAGGCTATGCGTAGTAGTTTGGGAGGTTATTGCAGAATGTAAATAGTATGAGCATCCATTTCTTTTTATGTCGATTTTTACACCATTCGTGTAGATGCGTTCTAAGTTATTATGGACAAATTTTACGGAAGCCGCTTTTTCGATGAGCAGCTTGCACCGAGAATATATTTGGTTTAAATGTAGACTTTATATTATTTTTTCCATGTTCTTTTTTTTTCTTTTTCCTGTTATTGCTTATTGTAAACTTTGTTAATTCTGTTTTTTAGTCAGTTCTGTCATTTACTTTACACTTAACCATGGCTACTCACTCTACGTTTACATAGACATACATATGCATACAAATGACATATACATACATATGCATACAAATGACATACATACATGCATATGCATACAAATGACATATACATACATGCATATGCATACAAATGACATATAGATACATATGCATACAAATGACATACATACATGCATATGCATACAAATGACATATAGATACATATGCATACAAATGACATACATACATGTATATGCATACAAATGACATATACATACATGCATATGCATACAAATGACATATATACATATGCATACAAATATACATGCATATAAATGACATATACATACATGCATATGCAATGCATACAAATGACATATACATACATATACACACAAATAACATATACATGCATATATATTCATACAAATGACATATATATATATATAAACATATGCATACAAATGACATATTCATGCATACATATGCATAAAAATGACACCTACATATGCATACGAATGACATATACATGCATACAAATGACATATATATACATGCATATGCATACAAATGACTTATACATACATATGCATACAAATATGATATACATGCATATATATCCATACAAATGACATATATATATAAACATATGCATACAAATGACATATTCATGCATACATATGCATACAAATGACACCTACATATGCATACGAATGGCATATATATGCATACATATGACATATACAAGCACACATATGCATATAAATGACTTATACAGACATATTCATACAAATGACATATACATGCATGCAAATGTTCTTTTTTTGATTTCTTTTCTTATAATTAATCAGTTCTATTTTTTTTATTCATTGCACATCTTTTTGATTTTCTTTTCTTTCTCTTCACCATCAAATTTACCGCGCTTTGTTTTTCAAATCGATTCTCTTCGCATTTTCTTTCACTCTTTTCAGGTTCAATCTTCTTTTTTTTATATTTGAGTCTTTTTCGTTTGTTTTAGAGTTAAGGAATATAAGATTCCACTTGAGGAACAAGCAGCGGATACTCAAATGAAATTCTAAAGGTCCCTTGTTATATACAAAGGCATGGTTAGCGTAACATAACATCTTAATTCATCCTTCCTTCATTTTTCTATCTATCTATCTATCTATCTATCTATCTATCTATCTATCTATCTATCTATCTATCTTAGTCTGTACACGATCTATCTATCTATCTATCTATCTATCTATCTATCTATCTATCTATCTATCTATCTATCTATCTTAGTCTGTACACGATCTATCTATCTATCTATCTATCTATCTATCTATCTATCTATCTATCTATCTATCTATCTATCTTAGTCTGTACACGATCTATCTATCTATCTATCTATCTATCTATCTATATCTATCTATCTATATCTATCTATCTATCTATCTGTTAAACTGTTTTTAATAGATTATGTCTCTTTATATTCTGTCTAAATTCTACATGCATCTTATTTTTTACGGATTCACTTCTTTTCGATTTCATTTCTAGTATTTTCTTTTTTTTTTGCTCACACACTCGTTCATTCTTTATATTTCTTTTTTTCTCATTGTTTAATTTTATTTTCCTCTTTGTTTTATGTATATGTGTGTCTGTATATGTGTATGTGTATGTGTGTATGTATGTGTGTCTACCACCTAAAATATTTTCTTAGATTTTTCGTCTCTGTTTTCAATTTTATTTTTATGGCTCTTAAACAGATATATATATATATTCTTTCAGTCATTCTTTTTCTTTTTGCCATTCTTTCTTTCAACCAGTAATTCTTTCATTCTGTTATTCTTTCCTTCTGTCATTCTTTTTTTCTGTTATCCTTTCTTTCTTTTTGTCATTTTTTCTGTCATTCTTTCTTTAAAACTATCATTCTTTCATTCTGTCATTCTTTTTTTTGTCATTCTATATTCCTTTCTTTCCATTATATGGAAATACTGTATTTATGATCTATCTATCTATCTATCTATCTATCTATCTATCTATCTATCTATCTATCTATCTATCTATCTCTGTGTGTGTGTGTATATATATATATATATATATATATATATATATGTGTGTGTGTGTGTGTGTGTGTGTGCATTCCAATTGGTCTCTGAATTTTTTGCTGTCAAAGAAACCAGTTGGAATGTGTAGCCTATCGAAAATGAACGGATTAACATACAGAGGCGAATTGTGATGTAGTCACTTGCCAATGTTTCTTTCCCCTGAAGATTATAACAAATTGAATTGAAAAGTTGAGAAAAATTAATAAAATTCCGGAGAGAAACATAAATATAATATTTCCATATAATGGAAAGAAACGAAGATAGAATGACAGGAAAAAGTGACAAAAAGAAAGAATAACAGAAAAAAAAAAGATATATATATTGTTGAGGGTTTCTCCCCTTTTTACACAAATGGACTCACCCAGCATGTACATATACTACGGCTACGTGAAGACCCGAGAGAGCAAGACCGAAGAGTCGAGTCCAGAGTGACAGAGTAAAAGGTTGTAGGTAACCGGAAGAGTGAGGTGTGATGTAACAGCGTTGTAGGAGTCACAGTGAGCGAGCACGTAGACTCAGTAAGAGGTCATACAACGATACTTCAATACCAAAGACTATATATATATATTGCTACTAACCCGTATTCCTGGAACTACTAACCTGCTTTACCAGTTTGTATTATTACGTTAATACATTATTTTCATATATCCATTCCTGGCGTTTGTTATTTATTGGTACCAGATTTCAACCCGGAATCCACAACACACACACACACACACACACACACACACACACACACACACACACACACACACACACACACACACATATATATATATATATATATATATATATACCAGAATTTAAAGACTTTCTTAAGACCGAGTATTGAAGGATCGGTATGATAAAAGCAGAAACTCCTCAAAAATACTTTCTAAACACTTGAAAATTGCCGCACAAGAACTACGCAACCACCCTGACATTATCGTAAAAAAAGCTGATAAGACCAACATTTTTGTCATCCTAAACAAATTGGATTACAACAAAAAAAGGTGACCACATACTCCATGATCACATAAAGTTTAAAAAACTTAACAAGAACCGGACCAACCAACTAAAATCAAAGCTTCATAAACTTATTAATACTAATAATGCTTTTAAAAACTCCCTAAAATTGTTGGTGATTATAGACCTGGTTACATATACGGCACTATAAAAACATAAACCTAACTATCCTCTCCTAATTATAAGAAATATATACAGTAACTCATCTTTACCCCTCACTTAAAATGAATCCCAATATATTACGGAAACTACTATTAGCTTGTAATACTGAAGTCCCTTTCTTAGATAATAATATATATATATATATATATATATATATATATATATATATACAACGTGATGGTGTCTCCATGGGTTCAGTACTGGGTCCGACATTTAGCAATGTCTACATGTCGAACGTCGAAAATAAGATATTTACAGATTTTAAAAAAACATCCATCTACCTAAGATATGTTGATGATATCCTTATGTTAGTTAAAAATACAGATGTAATACTTCCACATCAAAAACGTTTCCAAAATAGATCTGTCCTTAAATTCACATATGAACTCAATACTACTAATAAAATTCCCTTCCTTGACATATTGATAAACACAAATAATAACAAATTTACTATTTCGCCATACAAAAAACTTACCAGCATAAATTCATGTACACTTAACTACAAGAGCGAATGCCCATATTACTACAAAATAGCAATTATAAAGAATCTAATACATCGTGCAGAAACTAATTCATCCACAAAACAGATTTTTTACAGTGAACTAAAGAATATAAAACAAACACTTATTAATAATAGCTTTCCAAACTATATAGTTGATGGACAAATAAGATGCTTTCTTAGAAATCTCACTACTATGCAAATAGTACATAATACTGCTTCTATTAATCTCAAACATATTAATCTCCTATATCGTAATCAAATGTATACTAATTATAAACAAGATGAAAATATACTAAAAAAATTAGTAAATACTAATATATCTACAACAGATCCTAGCAAAAAAGTTAAGTTAATCATATACTATATTAAATCTAGTATATCCAACTCAATTATTCGCAATGATTCTTCTCTTCCGGTTAGCGATTTGCAAAAAACCAACATAGTTTACAAATTCAAGTGCCTTTTGGGAGATTGTATCTCCAACGAATTAAATAATATTTATGTTGGTCACACCACAAACTCGCTTTCGCGACGCTTGACTCACATTTGAATGATAACTCTAACATTTTTAGGCATTTAAAACAACATGCCTGGCCGCGTACACAACTCTGGAAAATCCTTGTTGAAAACACAACTATACTTAAACATGAAAACAATAAACAATAACTAAAAATTCTTGAAGCTATATACATAAAACAGTTGAAACCTAGCCTGAACAAAATAAACTATGAAATCTCCACAAATATTCTTAAATGCCTATAATTGGTAACAGAAGCCATTGGTTTATACCAACGGCTTTCGATACTTAATACTTCTCGTTTTCACTCTCGCGTGGTCATGTGTGACGTCATGAGCTGCGGTGCGATTTTCGCTTTCAGCGTCTTATATGCACGAGTTTGTCGTTGCTTGGAAATTTTCCATGCAAACAGAAACAGACTATCACCACTGTTTCGTCCGTGTATTGCTTAATATATTGTAATGTAATTGTCATCTTTGATAATGTAAGCCGAAAGCTTAGATGGGATTAAAAAATATGTATCAATATTGTGATTTTCTTTCTTCGTTTAATGATAATGTTATTAAGCTTATCAGACGATATGGAAAGAATTTACATAAAATAAATAGACAACACTTGTCCATATTATTTAATGAAACATGCATCAATATATATTGACCTCATCAATCTACAGTTCTGCTAGGTAACAGTAGCCATAAGTCCTATGCTATCAGTTTCTTTTCTCGCTTGTGGAACGCTTCCGGCTCCATGCTTTCGAACCAACTTTAATATCCAAAAATTTAAATCCAATATCAATCGCCATCTACTGTCGTCATGATTATTCTTTTCTCTTCCCGCTCATTAGTAATGTTTCTCTTCCTAATTCTTCCATATCCAGTAACCACTTGGCATCTTCCAATACGGACCTCTCTGCAACCTGTCTCGATCCCGGTTTCTCTATGGGAAAACAAGCAGTCAGCAGTGGGCAGTTGACGAGACTCGGTGTCTTGTGAAGTCGGTCACGTGGGTATTTTTTACCTAAAGTTGCTGTGCCGTATTTTCTGAGGCAGGGTTATTTTATTACCCCTCACATGTCCCTTTCCTTTTATTGACTATTACCTTCTCTGATTATTACCCCCCCTCCCCGTACTTCTTGGGAAAGCAATAGGTTATGTGCTTCCCCCAACCTCAACACACCCTTGCCATATTTTACAACAAGCTATGACGGCACTCATGGCGGACGGCATATTCAACCTGGGGTTAATCCCTGACTTACCGGTTCAGACTGGCGTCTCTCTATCGTTGAATGGTTTGAAAAGGCTGAACTGGTCTGTGAACTGTGCGCCGTGAAGTACATTGCTAGCGTTCTGCCACTCCGATTGACGGGTGGTGTTTTTGCTGTGTTTCAACAACTCAGCAAAAAAGACGTAGGCTGTATTAGGGATGTCATGTACATTGCCTTTGCCACAGATCCATTCATACCATATGACCTTGTAACTATGTAACTATATGAGCTTGTAACTAGTCGCTTGAATTCAAACGAATCTGTGGATGCCTGCTTGGCAAACCTCTGCAGGCTGTCAGTCTTGCACGGTGGGGTGTCTGACCGTGGATATGCGTGTGCATTTGTAGCGGGGCTGTCAGAACACGTCATAGAGGCTTCTGCTCGAATGGAGGCACTAGATGTCAGCTAGCTGTTAGAACGAGCTATGACCATTCTGAAGTATGATACGCCGACAGCGGAATTAATTGTGGCAGCCGCGAAGCCTGAGCAACTGGGTACAGACTAGACTTCTGCCAGTGATCCGCGGAGTGATATATTCTGCCATAAATATGGTGGTGTTAATCATTTGGCTAGATATTGTTTGTGTCGATGAGCTAAGCAGTGTGGAGACAAAGCCGTACGTTGTTTTCGCTGTGATAAACTGGGTCATATATCGCGGAAATGCTCAGAGGGGGATCAGGGGAACAGACATTAGCGCCAGTCTCATTCGTTGTCCAGATGTAAATGCGGCGCTGCCTGTAGTCAACGCATTGGAGAACGGCGGGGAATGGTGTTCAGCTCTCATTGACTGTAACTGCTCCCGGTTGATTGTTAGTGCAGAGTGATGCCGGTCGTAGACCCAGAAGCACGTGGATGTGGAGACGATCGGTGGCAGTATGCGGGCGTGCTGTGGTGTTGGGACCGTTAATATCTGCACAGACAGTGGCAACTCTGCTGAGGTTGAAGTCTTCGTGGTGCGTGACAAACCGCTAAGCTTTGATTTACTTGCTGGAATCGATGCGATAACTGCATTAGGTGGCAGACCCAGATACGTCACTTTTCCAAGGAACAAGAACTCCATAAAGACCATAGCCCGGAAAGAAACTAGGGACACCCAAAGGAAGAAGTGTAACAGAATACTGAGAGAAACAGTGATCATGTATCTTTCGAGGCAGTAGGTTGCCATTTCTTTCTGTGGTAGTGTTATAATGGAACACACCTATTCTATAGTTAATAGACTCTCCCACCTATAATAAGTAGGAGTAGTAAGAGTAACGAGGAAAGAGCTCAGCGAGTTGGTCAGTCAGTCGATGTCGGACGACCGTTAGTCGGATACTAAAGTATCAGCCACCACCACTAGATTTCTCTGCGTCATTACCTATTATATCAAGTTCCTAATGTTTTGTACGTCGAATTTTTAGGACCGACTTAGTACAAATACAAGCCTCCACTGTGAAACCACTCTACAACAGGTAGACCAGTTGCCATTCAAGTCTGTCCTACTATTTACCCATAGCTAGGGGGAGAAGAGGATGA